GAGAGGAGGGAGGAGGAGGAGGAGGAGGAGGAGGAGGAGGAGGAGGAGGAGGAGGAGGAGGAGGAGGAGGAGGAGAGAGGAGAGAGGAGAGAGGAGAGAGGAGGAGGAGGAGGAGGAGGAGGGGAGGAGGAGGAGGAGGAGGAGGAGAGGAGGAGCAGGAGCAGAGGAGGAGGAGGAGGAGGAGGAGGGAGGAGGAGGAGGAGGAGGAGGAGGAGAGAGGAGAGAGGAGAGAGGAGAGAGGAGAGAGGAGAGAGGAGAGAGGAGAGAGGAGAGAGGAGAGAGGAGAGAGGAGAGAGGAGGAGGAGGAGGAGGAGGAGGAGGGAGGAGGAGGAGGAGGAGCAGGAGCAGGAGGAGGAGGAGGAGGAGGAGGAGGAGGAGGAGGAGGAGGAGGAGAGGAGAGAGGAGAGAGGAGGAGGAGGAGGAGGAGGAGGAGGAGGAGGAGGAGGAGGAGGAGAGCGGAGGAGAGCGGAGGAGGAGGAGGGGGATGAGAAGTAGGGGGAGCAGTACATGATGATGATGATGATGATGATGATGATGATGATGATGATGATGATGATGAAGTTGTTGTTGATGATGATAATGCTGATGATGCTGATAATGATGATGCTGATGATGGTGATGATGTTGCTGATGATGATGGTGATGCTGATGACGCTAATGATGATTATGATGATGGTGATGATGATGCTAGTGATGATGATGGTGATGATGATGCTGCTGATGATGATGATGATGATGATGCTGATGTTGACGATGGCGATGACGATGACGAGAACGATGGTGTTGATGTGATGGCGGTGAAGATGATGGTGATGACGCTTGGTGGCGGTGGCAATTCTGATATTGTTGACGATGCTTTGGCCATGTATCTGATGACGGCCCTGATGGTGATGACGATGATGATGCATCTGACACTGGTGATGATGGATTTGACTGTGAGTATGCATATGATAATCGTCTGCTGCTGATGATGATGATGGTGATGATGATGATGATGATGCTAATGATGATGTTGTTGTTGATGCTGATGGTGGCGATGACGATGCTGCTGATGCTAATGCGGGGAATTGTGCGATGCTGGTATCGGCGACGGCGCGTGATGATTGTGAGCTGCACGTGGACGAGAATGAGGAGGAGAAGGAGGGTGATGAGTAGGACAGCTTAGGGATGGAGGGGATGAGGAGTGACCAGAGCAAGGCAAAGATGCATAGGCGATGCTGCAACGCACCCTCCCGTCCCAAGTCCCTTCCCCACGTGCCCCATACAGGGCGCCATTCTCACTACAAGAAGTCGTGTCCTTGCCGAAATAGAGCAACACCCGTCAAGATGTTGCAAGCGCTGGCGGTGGCGATTGCGCGCGGCGCTAAGGCGAGAGCCACGCCTTGAGAACAAGCCTTTTCACACCCATGATCCTGCAAGTGTTGCAAACCACTACCCCTCCATCCGTGAAACTGTTTCCTTGCTTTTGAGACGAACGTGCGCGGCGTTAAAGCAGTGTAGCCACACTTTGGCAATGCCCCCCCCCCTCCCGCCATCCGTGAAGCTGTGACAAGACCGTAAGGCAATTGTGCGCGGCACTGCGGCAAGAGTCGCAGTTTGAACCCCCTTTTCACCCGCGAAGCTGAGTTCAAGTTTTTAAGGCGACTGTGCGTTGCGCTACTGCGAGAGACACCTTGTGAAACGGATCCCGCTTCATCCGTGACGTTGTGGCAAACTGTTCTGACGAATGCGCGCGGCGCTAAGGCGAGATCCACAGTTTGAAAACCACCAGCCCCCTCCATCCGTGAAGCTGTTACAAGCCCTTGAGACGAATCTATGCGGCCTCCTTCCATCTGTGAACCTAGTGCCGCCGAGCACGGACTTTTCGAGCATGAGTGCGGCTTCAAGGTGAGAGCCCCATCCTGAAAACGACACCTCTTCAACCCGTCAGGATGTTGCAAACGTTCACGACGAATGTGTCCGGTGGTACGGCGAGAGCCACTCTTTGAAGACCATCTCTTCTTCACCCATGAAACTGCTACAAATTTTTGAAAACAGAACCTGCGCGGCGCTAAGGCGAGAGCCAACAGTTGACCCCCCCACTCCAGCCGTGAAGTTGGTTTCAGACTTTCGAGACAAATGTGCGCGGCGTTTAAGCGAGAGCCACACTTTGATAATGCCTCCCCCGCTCACCTCAATTCGTGAAGTTGCTGCAAGCTCTCCTGGCGGATGTGCGCGGCGCCTGGGCGAGAACTAAATATCGAAGATGGCCCTCTCTTTATCCGTGCAGCTGTCTTAAGTTTCAAGCTCCAGGATCAGAACAAGTGTGAGGTCTCAAGCTAAACGCCCGGCCCGCCATACCGACACGCTTGGCCTGGGGTTGCCACAGGAAGTCGTTGTTTATAATGAAATGGATCGGAGAGGTGCAGTGGAAGAGAAGGAGGAGGATTAGGCGGAGGAGGAGGAGAAGGAGGAGGATGATGAGGAGGAGGAGGAGGGGAGGGGAGGGAAGAGGGAGAGGAGGAGGAAGCAGGGATGTGGGGTCAAGGGTGATCAG